CAGACACTCATCTAGGGAGTGGTACAAAGGCTAGCATCATCCAAAAGTCAATATACGTGACTTTGTTCACACATTCTCCCCATTCGGGTGAGTGTGAAGTATTCATTTTTAGATTAATATTGTATCCTCTTCTAGAACTCAGATTCAGAAGCCATTGAGCCAGTAGGCTACCCCTCATGCCCAGGAAAGGATGGCAGAGCAGGGCATGAATAACATGTGCTTTTAAAGACTACCTAGCTCTCAGGTCAACCCCAAGAAAAGTATAACTGGGACTCAGAATACCTCAGAGGAGGATTTAAATTTTGGAAAGGTAGCTTGCAATCATAATGGCACCAATGGTGGTAGTGTCTACACTTACAACTGCACTAAAGACAGTTGAGGGATAAAAGAACGGAAGGACAGAAAGTCTTTCTTTTTCTTTCTTTCTTTTTTTTTTTGCCTCTGAAGAGGCAGAGTGAAGAAAGAGTCAGAAATATAAACTTCTTCCTGACAGGGTATAAAATTATCCATCCCATAAGATGAATAATTTTACAGGACCAGACCAGGAAGGATGTCTTTTTGATAACCATCCAGTGGTTATTAAGACAGTAATACCCCAAGAGAGTGATAAACCCAAACTGAGCTTACCACATATGCTTGTAAAACACAAATTTGTGCTCTCGATTTTGGTGAACCTTTATCCTCAGCAAGATATAAAACAAATAATCAGATTAATCTCTCATTCTCTCTTTTAAGTAACCAAGTATAAAAGGATAAAAGAATAAAAGGAATTGGCAGCCTAGTATGGTGGCACACACCTCTAATTCCATCAATCAGGAGGCAGAGGCAGACGGATCTCTGTGTTTGGGGTAAGCCTAGTCTAAGAGTGAGTACAGGACAGCCAGGGTTATACAGAGAAACCTTGTCTCACCTCACCCGCACCCCACTACCTCACTCCCAGAAAAGGAAAAGAAAATGAATTGAAACCCCCATCAATAGTTTTGGTATCTGGCAGGTGTTTCTCCCAAACCAACAGCAGTGTTTCCACTTCTAAGTGCAAATCATCAGTCATATTTTTTCCTTAGAAAGCTCCTTATTCTGAGTGATGAGGTTAGATAGTAAGTATCCTGCAGTACCTGGAAGATTTCCCACCCCCAACTCTGACAACCTCTTCTGCAGACATCCCTGTGGGAACTTAACCAGTATAGGAAGAGCTGCCACCCTGTTTTGTGGACATCTTTTGGTCTCTGAAAAAAATGTTCCCTTCATCTTTAAGAAGAATTTTCTGTTCACTGTGAATTACCAAACTCTTTTGATCACCAAGACTGTGCTGGTAGGTTCCTTTGGCAATAGAATCAGAGAGAGAAACCAAGATCTAGACAGACAGAAAAGCACTGTGTTCTTGTCACCAGTGGCCAATCCTTCAGTGACTTTGTGGAGACTTTGTCTTTTTTTTTTCCCTTGTGATGGACCTTTTACATATGTGAGGCCCTGCTTCTGATGCCTGAGGGAGAAATTCACTGAGAACCAAATTTCACTTCTGGCCCTTTCTTCACTCTCTCATTTAGGTCATAAAAGGAACCGCTTCAACAATAGTCAACGTCTCTCACCTTCTCTGCCATAGTCTACATGGGTGTTTTTTTGCCACAGCTGCAAAGACCCTTGCCAAAGCACAGCAGAGAAGTACCCGTACTCATTATGGTGGCACTTCTACTTATTTAGTTGGAAATAAACCCCAAGGAAAGAGCTCCAAGTACATTCATAAACCCAGTGTTCTACGTCATTGCATAAAACCATTGAGTGTGGTGCATTTTTATAGCGTTGTCTGAGGCCAGATAAATGTCTCAACTCTTTATTTAGCATTGCTGAAATCCAGTAAGTGATTTCAAAGTAGTGTGTGTGCAACCTTAGCCCATACATTGCTAGAAAAATAAAATAATTTGTGGAGTCTATTAGTGTCCTATTAATGACTGATTGCCATTTTGACCATTTATATTACCAAATAAAATGTATACCACTTACAATATTGGAAACCTCTGAAGCAGGAATTTCAGTATAGCTGTTTGTTTGGATATGCCAGTCATGTGTTTGGTCTTCAAACAAAAGAGCAATTCAGATCCTTAAAATGTGCGGGATTTTAAAATGTAGATACTTTAACTAAACATCAAGAAGGAAATTCATAGAGGAGGAGAAAAAAAGTGAAATGAAACATCTGTTGGTCAGATTCTTAAAAAAGAAATCTCTCCATTGGACTGGAGGACGTTGAGGAAGGTAGGCCTCCCTCCTCCCTGGTGGACTGAATTCTAAGTTCTCTCTAGCTTTAGATTTAAAAGGCAAGCTTATCGACTCCCACCTTAAATGCCAGAGTCATTCTTTATTTCTCACCAGGGAGAACCAAGAATTCAGTACTTGAGCAGAATTATACACAGAGAGAAAGGAGACATAACACTGGAAGAGGGGGAAAAAAGTAAGATACAAGAAAGATGCCTCCATGTAGAGCTAGCTTTCTAGAAACCTCACCTCCTGGAGTGGAACGGGTGTCTGGGTATTCACAGGATGTACACAGACTGTTAAGGCGCATGGGCAGAAGATGTTTTCTGGGAAAAACAAACTTTGTCTTTCCTAAATGATAACCAAAGCAGACACAAAGCACTGTGCTGTTGAACTCACTAATGGAACTGAGTTCCCCGGGAGGCCTCCCATTGGTGCCTGTGTTACCTGAATCAGGCCTTGGTTTCTGTACCACCACAGCTCTCTGAGAACTGATTTTTTTTTTTATGTTTTTGGTTGTGAGCCTCGTCTCATCTCTCCAGCCCTAGAACTGATTTCTATCATGCCTTTGTATTGCTTACCTCTTGGCCTTTCTGATCTTCCATGTCTTTTCTTCTCTCAAATATCTTCACTTAAATAACTTGCCTATATTCCCTTTAACCAGGGTCTTATTTTCCTGTTGGAGACAGTTCTTTTCACGTTTTGAATTCTCTTAAATATCAGTATGGGGATGTTGTGTGTATGAGAGTTAGAAAGGGGACAAGGAGAAGAGTGAGGAAGAGAAAAGGGGGGAAGAAGTAGGAGATGAGGAAGGGGAGGAAGGGGAGAGGAGGGTGCAGAGGGTTCAGAATGAGGGGAAACCAATGGAGTCATAAGAAAAGTGGTGGCTGAAGACAGCCGCAGACTTTTACAGGGATATATTTGAAGACTGCCATTTAACTGAACTCTTTCACCTGGATATTTTAAACTGAACCTACTTACAGAGTAGAAATGACTCTTTAGGTTGAAGAAGAACCGCTGTTCAAGAACTTTCTTTGAAATGTCAGTAGTCAACCTGGAAGTCAAGTGAGAATGTTGACCTTTCTCCAGGTCTGTGATGATTGTGGTTTTTTTGTTTTTGTTTTTGTTTTTTTCCTGCAGCCCCAGCAGGGGTTCTGTCTCTGCAGGACTGGCAACTTTCTGGGGAAGGTGAGAAGAGAGGACTCCAGAGAAGTGAACTTCTAGGAAATTCTTTACATTCATCCAAAATCCATTCCTCCCTGGCCGGAGGTACCCGCAAGAAAAGACACTGGTGTCTTGCTGGCCTTCACAGTTCCAGAGAGAGATCTCGGAACTGCATGAGGATCGTTCTCTCAGCTGCTCTTCACCGACCCTTCACACGCTCACCCTGAGAGGCAGGGACAGGGACTGTTGCCTTAAATCCTGGTCTTGCCTCTTGCCCTTTAGCGAGAAAACTATGCAATTGAATTTATACTAAACCTGACCTATTGCCCAACTGAATGCTGCGAGAGTGGAGTGTGGGAATTGAGGGATCGCCTGTGCCACTCAAAGGTCTTTCTTCCCTTAGGAACAGAAAGACTACCAGAGAAAAACAACCCGAGAGCCCCCAGCGTCATTGTATTGTGGCCCCTGCAGAATGGGTAAACTCTCGGGGCTGTCAAAGACCGCAAGTCATTAGCATCAGCTGCCGCTCTAAAGGACAAGCCAGCGCCTCTAAGTGGCTTAGTGCACAAACGAGGCTCCCGAGACAGCTTCACTCCTGCGACTCCATCCACTCCTCCATCGGCGGCTGGATGTGAAAAGCTCTTGAGAGACCATCTCAGTAATAATTTTTACTTTACTTTGAACCATCCTCTTTTACCCCGAGGTCTTAGATTCCCGGCCGCAGTTCCCATTATGGGACCCCTTGGGGACCACACAGAACATCATACAGAGGGTCAAAAGCTTTAGCGCCTGAGTCCAACGACTCAGGCTCTTTCCAGCACCGCTCTCTCAGCTCATATCCACTCAGGGACCCTTGTCCTGGGACCTGAAGACTACCCAAATCCCTTTAGGAGGTCTGGCAGCTTTCCGGATTTATCTTTGTACCCCATCCCTTGGGGCAGGAGAGGACTAAGGGAAGTTCCCACCAAAGTGCACCCCCTGATCCCCCGAATTTACACAAGTCTTCCTGCTAGGTAGGGAGGACGCTTTTTAAGAGAGACCGGTTATCACCTCCTAGGCCACTAGCTTCACAGATTAACTGCAACTCAATAGCCAGCGAAGCCCGGGGCGGGGAGGGGGGTAAATTCTCTCTCACACCTCTATTTTTTGGGACTTATGTGAATAGTCCAGGCGCTGGCAACATAGCCAGCTCCTTGTCCTAGATCCTCCCAGCAAAACGGAAAAGAAGCGCTCTGCTCCTTCTGGTACCTTCCTTCCAGAGCCTGAAACTGACTTTGCCACCCTAGGAGTGCCAGAAAACCCCAGCCGTGGAGGAAGCAAGCCAGGCTGCTCTTGGGGAGTCTATGCCCCTTGGGGAAGGAGCTCAGGAATTGCCTGGCGCTGGCAGGCCGGAGAAGCCAGGCTTGCCGCAACGGAGGGAGCTCCCAGACCAGAAAGAGTTAAAGGGAGGGGACGTGGGCTGTCACGCGTCATTGGGCAGATTATGTGCAGCAAACAAAAAGTGTGTGTCTGCGTGCCAGTCAGTCATTGCATCGGGTCCATCTGTACAACTCGCCTCTTCTCTCTCTCTCTCTCTCTCTCTCTCTCTCTCTCTCTCTCTCTCTCTCTCTCTCCTCTTTTCTCCTCTCCTCTCCTCTTTCTATCTGCATCTCTCTTCTCTCTTTGGACAGACCCTACAAGACTGACACCGACACCTCTTCACATGGAGATACACTAATGTAATAGGCAGGAAGGAACACTGGGTTGCACCCTCTCGGTTCCAGGTGGCCTTATTTGGGCGACTCGGTCCTGACCTTATTTCTGGTAAGTCTATTTGCATTGACATGGGAGGGGGATGGGAAAAGGGCAGGTTGAGCGGAGAGAGTGGGGCAAAATTTGCCTCCTTTCTAGAGAGAAGGGAAACGATTGCTGAATGTTATCTGCACGGGCAATAAGATTATACAAAGGGAGGAGCGGGTGGGAACACTTTACCGGAGAAGCAAGGGACTGGGGAGCTCGCGGCGCCGAGACAATGCCAGCCCCGAGTAGAGGGAGGGCATCAGGAAGCAGCGAGGGCAGCGACCGGGTTTTCAGCAAGTCCACCGGTCTCTAGGTTTCTCCGGGGTATCTGCGGAAGAAGAGAACCCGGGGCCTAGAGATGGGCGTCGCACTGGGAAAGGCTATCTGGGCTCTGTCTATCGCTAATTGTGGCTGCTTTGCGTCCTGGCGGCCACCTTGGCATCACCGACCGCTATTAGCCCGGGCGTGGGACCTTTTCGCTGTATTGTTAGATAGAACTGCATTTTAATGACTGCGTCCCTGCTGTTGCCGAAGTAGTGGGCGACCTCCTGTCACAATGAAATGCTTCCGTGTAAGACACTTGCAAAAGCGGGGCAGAAATCGAGGTACAAAACGTTGGAATGCAGGCAGCTGGGGAGAGAGTGAGATTCTGCCGAAAAGGAGGCAAGAGAACCTGTATTCTGCAAGGTATTTGATCTGCAATTGGAAACCAAAAAAAAAAAAAAAAAGAAAAAAGAAAAAAGAAAAAGAAAAAGAAAAAACCGAACTCATTCAAGACAAAGTGTAACATCAAAACTTTCCATTTTGTGGCTATTTCCTTATTGCCGCTGTCTGGAAAATATACTTGCCATTTATACTCATACGGAAGAGTGAGTAGAAAGGAGGCTGGCCGAAGTTTCAGGCGTTACCTTTTAATCACATTTGTAAGACTAATTAGTTAGTAGAGGTTGATTAAAAAAATACACATCAGTAATATTGTTCTTTAATGAGCCGCTAGCTGTACAAGAAAAGAATAAGCTTCCCCCGTCACTTAGATTACATAAATACAGAGAAATCACTGTCAATGGTGAAATTACTAGGGAAAAATCAACTTAGAGGATTCATTAGATCACTCAGAAAAATGGCATGGCCAGCTAAAAGCTAGTTTAAATATCTAAGACGATTGCTTTCTTTAAGTGTTAAGTTTCCTAGGGGGTGGCCAGAGGCTGAGGAAGGAAACCATTCCTGTAAGACAGCTTAATAGAGAGCCCTCCACTGGGGCATTACTTTCTCAATTGCCACGGATTAAACAGCTGGAGGGCCCACTAAGGACCATTCAAGCAGGGCTGCCCCCTCTTGCCCAAACAGGGTGGTATCCAGGGATGTGAGCATTCACCAATCATTACACACTGTATTTCAGACAGGGGACACTTCAGGCCTGCCCTATACCTGCTCGCTTCATGGGCCACAAGCGCCTCAATCCACCCCCTTGTATAACAAGGTAACTGGGATTCATCCTCATCCATAAATAAGCATGTCGAGAAAAAATAATTACCTCTGCTTGCTGCTTTTAATTAAAGCCTCGGAGGGACAGTGTTGGATTATGGTAATGAGCAGACATGCGTCCCTTCTTGTAGGCTGCAGAGAAAGGTTAGCTGACACAGAATTAGTGGCCCTGACACTCCACTTGAAATCCATTTGCCATGCTCCGTTGTCCCCGCCGCCTGCTAGCTAAGGCTGCTCCCCTCATTAGGAGAAAAGAAGAAATTAGATCGAGGCACCAGGTCCAGTGCACAGGAAGACAGGACTTTCCCCCAAGGGCTAGAAGTTTTGGGGGGTTTTGTACTTAGTCAGAAAGAAAATCTATATATGCTGGTTAAGAAAAAATATACCCTACCTTTCACCCCAAATCCTCAGTCAATGCATCCAGAAGTGATGAAGATGTGATATAGAGTTCACACACTTTTTCTTTTTCTCAAGCAGGAAACATGATCTCACGCTTCCCTTTCCAGATATTTAAAAGGAAAGAATAATAATTCGAACTTGGCGTCTTTAAAACCTGCCAGATTGTTCTGCTTTATTTTTAAAATAGGAGCGATGTAAAAAAGCCGGCAAGTGCAAAGAAAATATGTCTAGTAGAGGAAACGCTCTGCCGGGGTTCATAACAGGAAAGGCAATAACAACTCACTTCTTGTCCTGTGTATCTGTCTCCAGTGATGGAGGATTCAGGCATCCAGAGGGGCTTGTGGGATGGAGATGCCAAGGCTGTCCAACAATGCCTGACAGATATTTTTACCAGTGTATATACAACCTGCGACATCCCAGAGAATGCCATATTCGGGCCCTGTGTTCTGAGTCATACTTCCCTCTACGACAGTATTGCCTTCATAGCCCTCAAGTCCACGGACAAGAGAACAGTTCCTTATATCTTCCGGGTAAGTCTCAGCTGGTATGGTGGAGTTGTCTGAGGGCAAGCATCCCTTTTGGGAGTAAGCAAGGAACCATCCTAAGGATAGTGTAACAGTTTGAGCAATCATAGTAAGCACTGGAAAATTAGAAAAGACGAACTAGACTCAAATTATCAACTGATTTTCTGAGAAAATTTGACTCGAAATACTAAGGATTTGTAAACTGATTCCGGGCAGATTAGCAGTTCCTAAATTGCTGGGGGTGGGGGCCTCTCTCAGGCTGGAACTCTTTACTAGAGAAGAACTACTCCCTTGGAGAGCCTTTACAAGTCTCTGAGTATGTTTGTTTTCTAACCTGGGAAGTCTCCTCATTTTCTGAACGTTACTTTCTTTAGTCAGGATTAGTTGATGTTCAGAGTTCGTATTTAAATAAATGGTAATTGTTTTGGCAGCCAAGCATCTTTAAATCCACGTTTGTGTTTGCAACAGGCCTCACATTTCCTAGTCTTTCTTTTTGAAGAAAACTTGTCAGTCCTTCAAACCAGAGCTAGGAAGATGGGCATGAGTGCCATAGAATAATTTCTAAGATACAAATTTGCTTTTTTTTTTTTTTACTTCTGAAACACAGGAAATTCCCTCCATTCTGTGATAACTGAAAAAAGAAATTCTCAATAGGCTAATCTATAAAACTAACTTAATGTAGCTAAGGATCGTTATCTTGCCCATTGGCTGCAAATATAGGGATGTGGACCAACTCTGGTCGAGTTTTGTAAACTTGGTTTCGGATGTTTGGAAAGAACAAAAACCAAACAGAAGAAAAAGCCCTAGTTTTTTTTTTTTCTGGTTTCTGTCTTTCACATGGACGCCCCTTCTTGTCTTTCTTAAACACTGTAGGTAGACACTTCGGCAACAAATGGCTCCTCAGAAGGTCTCATGTGGCTGCGGCTGGTCCAATCAGCCAGAGATAAAGAAGAACAGAACCTCGAAGCTTATATAAAAAACGGACAGCTGTTTTACCGCTCTCTCCGAAGGATTGCCAAAGACGAGGAGTTACTCGTTTGGTACGGGAAAGAACTGACTGAGTTACTTTTGCTCTACCCCTCTAGATCCCACAAAATGAACGGTAGGTTGGCTTGCGACCTGCGTGTGGGTCCGTCGCTAGCTGGGGGAGAAGCGCAAAGAGCAGCTGGGACTAACCCAGGCTCCCGGGCGCACCTCGCTTCTCTTGGGCACCTCAAAGGACAGAGGCAGTTTCTGAGGTTTTTGTCTAGAATGGATCTGGGACAGAAAGGGGAGAAAAAGTTGGGGTACATATGGGTTGATAAACATACTTCACCAAGTCAAGAAGAAAAGTTGAACCAACTAGTACAGTATATTCTCTCCTCGGGCACTCAGCCCAGGAAGATAAAGTGGATTTGTTATGGGGATGATGGTTAAATGGCCTGTGGGTAATGCTGACTAACCATGTGATGTGGTGTGTGTGTGTGTGTGTGTGTGTGTGTGTGTGTGTGTTTGTGTGTGTGTGCGCGTGTGTGTGTTTGCTCACTAAGCAGGGTCGTCCCCTTACACATGCCTGGAATGCAGCCAACGTTTCCAGTTTGAGTTCCCCTACGTGGCGCATCTGCGATTCCGCTGCCCCAAGAGACTTCATAGTGCTGATGCGAATCCCCAAGACCAGCAAGGTGTCGGTGTGGGCACCAAGGACCACGTCGGTGGCGGTGGCAAAGAGCAACAGCAGCAACAGCAACAGCAGCAGCAGCAACAGCAGCAGCAACAGGAGGCGCCCTTGGTCCCGGGCCCCAAGTTCTGCAAAGCCGGTCCCATACACCACTACCCGGCGCCGTCCCCGGAGGCTAGCAACCAACAAGCCGCCGCAGGTGCGGGCAGCGCCAAACCGTCCACGGACTTCCACAACCTGGCCCGGGAACTGGAAAACTCCCGGGGAGGCAGCAGCTGTTCGGCGGCCCCGAGCGTCGGCGGTGGCCGCAGCGGCCACCAGGAGGCGGAGCTGAGTCCCGATGGCGTCGCCGCCGGCGGCTGCAAAGGAAAGAGGAGGTTCCCGGAGGAGGCGGCTGCGGAGGGCGGCAGCGCGGGGATGGCAGGTGGCCGTGCGCGCTTCTCGGAGCGGCCGCTGGCCTCCAAGGAAGAGCTGGTGTGCACCCCGCAACAGTACCGCGCCGCGGGCAGCTACTTCGGCCTGGAGGACAACGGGCGGCTCTTCGCGCCACCCAGCCCGGAGACCGGCGAGGCGAAGCGTAGCGCCTTCGTGGAGGTGAAGAAGGCGGGCCGCGCGGCGGGCTTGCAGGAGGAGGCGGCGGCGGACGGCGCGGGAGGCACAGCAGAGGACCCCGACGCCCGCGTCGGGGTCCTC